AATCACTTCCACTTAAATGATTTTCATATAGCGATTATTAACTAGGCCAACTAGTTTTACAAAAATAATTGTATTTCATTGGTTTCATTAAATTTTATTTTATTTATCTAAAATCTGGGTCTTTTTTTCTTAAGAATTACCAGTTATTTTTTTTTCAGTTATTTAGAACTGTTACGGATTTGTCAAATACAAATAATTTAATAAATTACTAAGATTGTAATAATGAGATTATAACATGAATCATAAACTCAGGAGTGTCCAGAAAGGGATTTCAAGGCGCAAGTTGTGCCATCAATTATTTTTTTAATGGGGTTTTAATTTTGGATGACTTATGAATTTTGATATAAAAAATTTCAAATTAGGATACAAGAAGAAAGCTAATGACTGGCCACTGATAGCGTGATTGTATATGACCTATGATTTTTTAAATTTTACTTTAGCTTTGTTTTTAATAAGAAAAGACCAATAAAATATCTTGAGAGAAGGGAGGAGAGAGGTAAGGTTCATTCGACTTAACATTGGGGGGAGGGGAGAGAATGGATGTTTATAAACATATGGTTTTATCAAAAGACTAAAATAAAAAAAAATGAACTTTTTAAAATTAAATACATGCAAAAAGTAAACTATTTAGCCTTGGTTTATAATTGAATCAATTACAGAAGTCTATTACTGAGAATACAAATAAATCATGTTTAAACCAAGATCTGTAGTATAATTCAAAAGTGTATATATATATATATATATATATATATATATATATATATATATATTATATATATATATATATATATATATATATATATATATATATCTTGTATATATATATATATATATATCTTGTATATATATATATATATATATATATATATATATATATATATATATATATATATATATATAATTATAATTATATATTATTTCTGAAGGGATATTTTTTTTTTAACTAGCCATATCTTTGTTAATTCATCATTAAATACATTTTGAAAGTTTTCTTCTCATTCAGGTGTGAAAAATAGTGACATATTCCTTCGAAAATTAAAGAGAAAAAAGTTATAAAAGGAAAGAAATTTTATTTGTGAATTATTCTAAAAGTATGCTTTTTTTTTTCTCGATTACAACCATAATTATTATAAAGGGTTTCTTAATCCATTACATAGGAAAAAAAAAGAAAAAAAAAGCGGTTTGAAATTTGCACATTCGAGAACATTCCTACCAATTAATTTAAAAAAAAGAAAATTATCAAGAAAATTTTTAAAAATTAACAACTTCAGGGAATAGATTGGTAAATGAACTTTGTTTGATGCATCGCCTACCTGATTTTCATATATAATACATGCTTTTTAAAAATTATTTTCAGAAGAAAATTTTACTGATATTGTGAAATTATTCCATTTATCTGAAAGGAGAGGTAAATAGCTGACATCGGCCGTAACCACAGACCCTGCCATCGGGAAGGACACACGAGCTATGGTAACCCGATACATCGTTGTGCTAATCGATAGATATTAATCGATATCTCCTGATTTACAGCCGGCGGATCCTGCACAATCAGCTCGATCCCATTTATCTCAGCACTATTTGTAGCTAGCCTGTTCATATCCCCTCTACCGTGAACTGAACTATCCCTTCTCGAATGACTACTTGACCAGGTCAAAAACGAAATAACAGTTGTTATCTACTCTGATATATGGATGATTCAGAAGCCTATCAGTGCAATTCACAAAAGAACTATAACGAAATTATTAGATGTTTAAAGCAAAACAAAAGAATAAATAAAAAAATAAAATAATTTTTATTTATTTAAATTTTATTTTATACAATTTGCACCTGCGCATCGAGCAAATTGTTGTGTTTTTATTGTCTTGGTGTAATTGCTTGATTTTTTTTATGTTGATGTTTTTATTGATGTAGTAGGTCTCTTGGCCATTTTATTTTTAATCTTCGTTGCTCAGATAACAGGGAGCAGGAGATAGAAAGAACCAGAGGATTGGAGTGATTTTGGGTTGAAGAATGAAATGTAGTGTATTTGTCATGGATGTAGGATTTTACTGTTGGGGTGATTAAGTCGTTATGTATAGTAGTGTTTGAAATGTACCAAGGTGCGTTAACAATTTTTCGTAAAAATTTTTATTGTGCTGTTTGTATTTTGTTTATGTGTGTTTGTTTTGCTGAACCTCAAAGTTCTGCTCTATATGTCCATATTGGTCTCAGTAAGGTGTTGTAGATAAGTCGCTTGTTTCGTAAGTTAAGTGAAGATCTATAGTCCAGAAGATGTGAAAGTTGGCTATATCGTCTAGTAAGTTCTTTTCTTTTTAATTTCGTATGTATATTTTAAGTAAGTCTTTTGTCTAAGTAGAGTCCAAGGTGTACCGTACATAGTTATTTGAAGGCACTAGATTATTGGCAATCGTTATGGGTGGACATGAGGCTTTCCTAAGAGAGAAACTAACGTGGGTGGATGTTTTGACTATTAATTATAATAATTTAAATTGGGAAACTAATCTTGTGGTCCGAAAAGTCCGTGGTGAAGTTATTACAAGTTATTAACATCTACCTGAAACTTCGTAAATAGCTTCATCTCATCGTAACCTACAACTATTTCATTTTTAGGACTCGGAATTCTCGGGATTGGGGCGTTTTCAACTTGGAGATCGGCAAACTTAATCTATTTAATTGGGTACTAAATACTCGTAAATACCCATTTTCTTTCCACTTGAATCGTAAGATAATTTGATCACAAAATCAAAAAATAAGATGGCCTTCAAAAATATTGCGTCATTTGGGCAGGTGTACGGGCTACTTCTTCAGGACCAAAGGAACTCATAGGCGAGACGATAAGATTTATGTGCATAAACGATAAAAGAGGTCTACTCAAATGAATGAAAGCAATTTATTAGTCTGTGGTACAGACTCCCTTTTATCAAATTGTTAACAACCACCTGAAACTTCGTGAATAGCTTGATCTCATCGCAACCTACAAATATTTTCTTTACGAAAATTCTCGAAATTGGGGAGTTTTTAATCTGGACGTCACCAAACTTTGTCTATTTAATTAGGTACTAAAAACTCTTAACTAACCATTAGCTTTCCAATTGTGCCGTAAGATAATTTAATCACAAAATCAAGAACAAAAGGTGGCCTTCAATAATATAGCGCCATTTGGCGTGACCTAACCCCCAAATTATTAACATAACGAGGTTATATAGGACAAACGGCTCAATATTTTTGAAGGACATTTTTTTCTTGATTTTGTGATCAAATTATCTTACGATCCAATTAGAAAGCAAAGCTATATTTACGAATTTTTAGTACATGATTAAATAGACAAAGTTTGCTGCCCTCCTCCCTATCCAGATTGAAAATACTCCAATTCCAAGAGTTTTCGTAATTGAAATATTTGTAGGTTACGATGAAAAAAAGCTATTTACGAAGTTTCAGGTGGTTCTTAATAGTTCGATAAAAAGGGATCTACACCACGGACTATTAGGTATTAGAAACTCTTCCAAACCCGTTTGTTTACCACTTGAATCGTAAGATAATATAATCATAAAATAGAAAATAAAGCGGCCTACAAAAATATTGGGCAGTTTGGCGTTACTTCCACCCTCGAAATGTCAAAATAACGCGATTATGTATGCCAAACGGTCCAATATTTCTATAGGCCACCTTTTTTTTTCCTATTTTGTTATCATGTTATTTTACGACTCAAGTAGGAAGGAAATGGATGGATATTAATGAGTTTTTAGTACCTAATTAAATAAAAAAAAATTTCCGATCTCCAGATTGAAAACCACGCAATACAGAGAATTTTGGTAAATAAAATATTTGTAGGTTACGATGAGATAAAGATACTCACGAAGTTTCAGGCATATGTTAATAACTTGATAAAAAGAAGTTTTTACCACGGACTATTCGAACCTTAAATTAGTTTCCCAATTTAAATTATTTTTTTTATTTATTCTGTATTTTATCTTTAAACATCTGATAATTTCTAAAAATGGGACTGTAACACGGAATAGAATTACAGGCCTCTTTTTCATGAAATTATTAACATCTGTCTAAAATTTAGTTATCTTATCGTAATCTAAAACTTCTTTAGTAAATTAATTATTAAATTAGTAAAGTAAATTAATAACTAAATAATAATAAACAAAACTATGTACAATAAAAAATAAAATAACCTAAAGATAAGCAAATTAAAAACATAAAAACACAGTCATACCTATATTCATATATACAATCAGGCATGGATCCCCAAGCCATGCTTCTCCCTTCAACTATAAAAGGAAAACAGCATTCCAAGAGATCCCTGCGTTACTCTCTCAAATGTGTCACTGGTGCTAAAGCCAGTGGTAATGTCACATTAAATAAACAATGTTTATGAAAGGTTAAAAACGCCATATTTAAAAGGATTTTCGTACATAAAAAAATTAGGTAGGTTTAGTTAGGTGATCATGGAATGAAGGCATTCTCCAAGTTTTAACCTTGTTAATAATTTGAGGAAAAAGTTTCTGTATAGCGGACAAGATTTTATACTACCTTATTATATATAATTTAGATAATTAATGATTTTAGATAATATATGCGGTAAATAAATAATTTCTTTTTTTTTTGTGATATTACAATGATTATAGAAAATAGAGTTTTTTCTGTTTCAAAAACATTTATGAGGTTTCACTCTGGAAATAAATGACTTATGTATTAAATTAAATGAGTAAGCATTTGTTACCTACAAGACTTTAATGTTTTAATGAATTTTGCTTTCAATATTTTAGAAGTTAGTTCTTGATATGGGATAATACATTTTTTAAAATAAATTAACCGAAAAATTGGTAATCCAAATTATAATATGAGTACCGCCTTCCCCAGGTCATTAGGGATGTTTTATAACGAATTAAAATATATATAAAATTATTTAGAACCTGTTGGGGAAATTAAATTGAAAATGGTTGCGAATCTTGGTCCGTATTTACGATGAGCAGATACAGGGGTGGCGCAATATGGAGGTTATCGATTCGTTTGATAAGGTCTTTAAATCGGCTGCAGCAAGCATATTTATGAACGGTATAAAAGTTGTTGATGGAACAAGATTTCTCCTAAAGAGGAAAATAACCACACATAAGAAAAGGGGACGCGAACTTAGGGTAGAGCGGGTGGTGAGGGGGAGGAGGAGAGAGAAAAAATGGATACAGGAGATTGGACGACCCTCGCTGAAAAAGTGAAAGCATGTTAGATAATAAAGGGACCGTTTATAAGAAGGGCCGAGGATAATAGAGCGAGGATAGGTTGCACAATACAGGAGTGAATGGTGACCCCTGCGGGACACCAAACTCTATCAACAGCCAAGGCAAAAAAAAAACAGAGCCGATTCTGCAAGTTATGGTTGCCTTCATCGGCCATAACAGCTGCTTATCCTAAGCAAGCAACTTTCCCTCCGGCAAGGCTCAATTTTAGTACTACGCCCTCAGCTCTGCAAATATTTGCCTCATATCTGCCTCCATACTTTTCCATCATCTTATACAAAGTTATTGACAGTTTGATAATTTCATTTTCCTCCCCCTTCCAGTATTAAAGATCTCATATGCAGTCCTACCCACGTCGGCAATTTTCTTCATAACTTTTTTTTTTTTGTATATTGATTTTATAATAGGGAAGGTTGGTTCTTGACATAATTGTTCATTTTTTACTTTCACTTATTTATATACGAAATATATAGTAAGGAGCAGATTTTCGAATCTAAGTTTTAAACGAAAATACACGTTACAAAAGCACCTTGGTACGTTAGCGACATAACCTTACATACTGACCTCTATATGTCAACTATTAACGAACACATATGAACTCATTACAAACGAATCCACGATCACTTACAAGGACATCCTGAATACACTTATTTCATTTATAATTTATATACATGTAAATATTTTTAAAGTTATAAGCATACATATTGTCTTACACACCCATGAAATATTTTTATATTCCACTTATTATTTCAAACAAGTACAATGAAACGGTATTTTTGACAGTGGCTTCATTTAGTGGATTTAAATACTTTTTTTAACTTTAATTTTTTTTATTCACACCTGTCATAATGGTAATGATAACCAGTGAATGTTAGATCGATTGAAAAATATAATGTCATGAAAGGCATGAGGAAGATCAGTGCCCAGCGGCACCTCACTCGGCGTGATATCTACATTAGGTGAGGTCCCTCATCCAGCTTCTCTTCAGTCTCACACGTTATCTGGCCTACCCGTAGTGGCCATGGCATTTATAGACCGATGCAATTACATCTAAGGTTTTTGAAGCGAAAACTTCCTTATGCGCGTTTTGAGCTATTTTTTTTTTTTTTGAGAGAGAAAGAGAGTGAATTAGATTGATCCGTCCGATTTCGTTTCACTTTCTTTGTAATGAGCTATTATTCATAATTTATATTTCATATTATTAAACTCGCCTTGTTGATGTTTATATATTTATATCATGTGGTCTAGAGCACACATCTTAGTTGATTTTTTATAGGCTACAGTCGATATTATAAATAGGATTTATGTTGTTATTGTGACTGTCTTAATGAGTTTTTGTATTGATGAATATAAATATGTTGTTTAAAGTTTAGTTGCATTAACAATGCGCTTCAAAAACTTCTTGTAATAGCCCAATTTTGTCAGGTAAGAATTTATTTTTGAAGTAGAGCGGTAAGTTAAGATAAGATTTTTTTTAGTGATAATATTATTTCAATAAATGAATTATTATTTTCTAATAATTCATTTTTACATCTAAACATTCTATCTGTAAAATCTTATTATATTTTTCAATATACACATATTTACGAAAAAAATTTGTAAAACGTTTGAATTGAAAACTCGTTCATCTGTTGCCAAGAAATGTTAGACATAAGCGTGTAAAGTTTTCTTATGGGCACTGTGATGCCCAATTCCAAAACAATTCCTGTCAACCCTCCGAAGAGTCTGAAAAGAAGATGGCAAAAGGACCTCCTAAGTTAATTTAATCTTTGAAGGGTTACCATGTGGGAGTGTGAAGCAGGCACATCCATTTTATAAATAATTAGTAACCATTTTGTAGTCTTACTTTAAACAAATGATTTCATCTGACTAGTGAGTTGAGAAGGTTTTATGTCACATCTCATTTTTTACATGTGATAGACATTTGTTCGAATTTTTAGTTTCTGTCATTAAAATTATTTATCAGCCTGTGTTTTAAAGCCTTATATAAATTGCCAGCAGGTAGGTCGTATAGAATGCCAGAAATTGAAATAACTAAGTAGAATTTTGTTTGGTCATATGTTATTTTCGCCATTCTAAACTGATCCTCTGATTGAATAAACCAAATTTTGAGACCAGGCTTCCAAAAAGGTGGTATTTTAAAAGATAAATTATAAATTATTTTAAAAGATAAATGGGATACCTCTGATGGAGATGCTTAGGTTGCTGCTAAAATTTAATTTTTGTTTGAGTCTTCCTCGTTGAATAAACACAGGTTCATGGTCACTAATGCATTTAAACAAATAAGAAAATTATAAATTTTAAACACTATTAGAACACTATTATTATTAGAGAAATTATGATAGCAAAACCAACAACTCAAAGTAATATAAAAAAACTTTTAGAATTTAAAAGTAAGGTTACAAATGGTTAATAATTATTTATAAAATCAATGTTTATTCAATGTTCAGTATTGTTAAAATTAATTGATTTAAAAATTTTATTAATGTAATTAAAATAATTTCTAATTCCATGTTAGACTGTTTAAAAAACATGATCTTGTAAAATAATTTATAACATAATTTTATACTAATGGAGAATCGTAAGAAAATAATTTTATTCTTTTATTTTTATAAAGGATAGTATTTTGAATTCAACTTAGGAGTATTAATATAATATGCATTGTTAATGTATTTTATTTTATATATGTGTTTTTTAAATGCAAGACTTTTTTTATCGAATAATATATATATATATATATATATATATATATATATATATATATATACATATATATATATATTATTTTTGCATGTATAAACATTTCGATAAAAAAAGTCTTGCGTTTAAAAAACACATATAAAATTAATATATATTTTAAAAAATATTATTTATTTATATACTAATATTATATATATATATATATATATATATATATATATATATATATATATATATATATATATATATATATATATATATATATATATATATATATAAATAATATAATATAAAACAATAGCTGAAATATATATTTAAGTTTTAAAAAAGAGACCGTAGTTATAAATGATATGAAATATTAAAAAGAGAAAGGCATGCATAGGTACAGTTAAGTATTGAAAAGGGTAGTACTTGAATGTTTACATTTTTTATAAGGACTGACTATACGCGACTTGGCGGTTAAAGCAATCAGCCAATCAGAAAGCTTCTCTCAAAAAATCAAATTAGTAGCTCAGACTTCCTGCATCCCTTTGTTTCAGTTCTTCTCAACTCTCGGTCTAGTTCGGTTCGGTTGAATAATTCTTTTTTTTTTAAGTGATTATTAAATATTGGAATAATTAGTATGTGAAAGTGATATTTCGTTTAGATAATTATTTAGTTTTTAGTCGGCGGATTTTAAATTTTAATGTGCTTTAAAATAATTGCGAAACGTATCGTTATAAAAAATGTTGTTATAGTGAATTTCAAGACTGAAGTTTCATTTACTTTATATTTATGGAAGGTATGCTAATTAATTTATACGTTGCTTTTTTTTTTAAATATGGATAATGATTTATTAAATATATCATTTTAAACTGAAAATACTCAAATTATTATTATACTAAAAGTTATATAACCCACTATTAGACTTTTAAGTTTTTGTGACTTTCATTGTTTCTTTTCTATTTTTCCTTGAATTAATTTTAATAATTTATTGTTTGTTAATAAATTAATTTAACTTCTATTCAATTATATATAAATATCTTATATATTTACTATTTTCATTATCCTATATTTAGGAATTATCATGTAACTCGTTATAACGTTCACTTGGAAAAAGAGTACCACAATACGAAAAAATGGAATATCACAGTTTTTAATGGTTTAATATTAAGGTTTATTTTTAGCTCACTTTAATGCATCAATTTGGACATTTTCTTGATAAAAATTTTTTGTTCATTTGTACATGGATCGTGAATTAAATTGTAAAAGTGTTTCATTTAAAAAAAAAAAAAAAAAATTAAATCTTATTAAAATAAGAAAAATGAAATATTTTTAAGATATCTTCTTAGGAAAAAACAAATGAGATTTTTTTGTATTGTGCCACTCTTCTTTCAAATGAACATTATTGCTAACATTATTTTGTAATTAGTTATAACAAGATATAATAGGTTTGAATTATAATTATCAGCTGATTCTGTGACAGTCAAGAAATCTTGGTTAATTAAGAAGGTCGTTGCAAGATGGCGACGCTACAACTATAGAAACGGGGTTATGGACTGTTCAAGTTCCCAAACTCGCTGAGCTAATATTGTTTATATTTAAATTTATAACTTTATTATATACGTTTGTTAATATATATATATTTATATTTTTTTGAGGAAAGAGATGGTCCGGGGTGCGTATTTACAAACTCTGTGTGGATTCAGACACCCTGTCTGAACTCGTTTAGGGTTTGTAGTGGCCCTGGGGTCTGGCCCCTTACAAACCTTATACCTTTTCAGACACCTCAACCACGCCTGCGGGTTGGGGAACTTCAGTCGTTTTAAATTAATAATATATACATTAATTGTTAATATGTTAATTATTAATGTTATAAATATATTTGTATATTTAAACAAACTTGCTAATTTTGTATTAAATATTTTTTTTATTGACAAACATTACTGTCAAAAGACAAGAAGAATAAATGCTAAGTATAAATCATTTTAAAACTAACAATAAAATAAAATTCTAAAAATAAATAAGAAAATTATTACTTATTTAACTTCTTATAACTTAGCTTAGTTTGGTCGTTCAAAAGTCTCCTTTGAATGGTTTAACAAAGGCAAACTGTATTTTTATTTGAAGTAAATTGTATCTAGTTTACTATAAAGCAATTTTTAATTATGTGAATTAAAAAATGTATGTATTATCACTTATAAACAACAAATGAAATTTGTTGTTGGAAATTATGTCTAGAATCACGTACGTATGTGTTGTTTTAAGTAGTTGAGAAATAAAAATATTTTTTAAATTAT